AATACGTGAGCCGTCAACGGCAACTGGTAGATGGCACAGCCATCGCGATTGCGCGACTTCCTACCAGAAATTCGTTGCGCCGCCCTTGGGGGCAAAAAACGGTGAAAGCTATCGTACGAAATCAGAGGGCAGCACACGGTGCGATCGCGCGACCCTGCCCGTGAGCAATCTCCCAACTCATCTCTGATATTGATTCCTTTAATATTTGAATTTTCGTGGTCACCTAGTGTTCCGATTCACGTGTCGGACGGTAAAGTAGTTGCCGAGGCGGCGGTACAGTAGCGCCATCTCAGAGAAGTACGTTAATCACTTTTCAAACCTGTTTGAAACTACGCCAACCATTCTATAATCCCTCGTATTCATAGATGACGCCAGCGTCTTTGCCTATTTGACCGTTCGCACCTGTGCCGCACTTTTCATTGAAAATTTTCAAAATATACAACTAAATAGGAAAGCGGTATTAATGTAAAGAATAATTGCTGAGGATTCAGCAAGATTTTAGTGCACTTTTTCCAGAGACCTTCAGTCAGTTTGAGGTTAAAAGTAATGAAAGTCTGATGACGCCGGCGATACGACAGGTGTCGGCAGGTGTTTTAATGGGACCTGTTGATCAGTGACAGGTGCTGGAACAGCTGGAATTTCAAGGCATTCTCTGGCGAACCTTTGTTTCGTTCGTACGGGAAGGAATGTGACCAACGGGTTATTCCATTGGCGATAAAATTACATATTTCTCGGAAGTGGAAATAGAAAGGATGGAAAAGCGGTACAGAGTAGAGGCGTTCCTAGTTCCTCACTTGTGTGTTAAGAAAAACTCCGAGGTAAATGAGATAGACGATGTCAAAGTAGCGAATAGGTTCATACTGGATAAAATACTGGAGCACTCGTGGGAAGAATCGGAAGACGTATTTGGTAAGATCGAAGGATCCAGATCTACGGAGGATTTTAAGAGTTTTGAGGAACCTATCTACGATACGCCTTATGAAGTGAAAAGTAATAGTAAATTGCAGAAAACATTGACTGAAGTTAAGCCACCTACAGGTGAAAGCAGGATGCACCGCTTCAGGAGTCAATCGCCAGGATTAGATGCACCCCGACCACCGCCACGGACTGTTAGTTTAAAGCCAATTTATGAAAGAGAAGAACTGTCCAATGAAGATTCGGATAGATTTTGTTATCATGGGTTCGAAAATGGTTGCACCGCATCTGTGCAAAAACCAGAAGAAGTAAGCCAGGAAATTTTTAAAACTATCTGGCTTCAGAAACTGGAGACTCTGAGAAAAAAGGAAACTACGTTGAAGGATAAAGAAATAGCTCTGGAAGACTTCGAAAGATTGTTGAGGAAGAGGGAGAGGGAACTACTGATTCTAGAAAGACTAGCGAAGGAGAAAATGAGAAAGGCAGAATTATATTTAAAGCGATGTAAAAGTTCTCAGAGTGCGGAGAACATTTACGCTGAAAGGGAAATAGCGTTTGATGTGAGATCTTCCGCTAGTTCAAAAGATTCTAATGAGCACTGCGACAAGGACTCCAAGAATGATTTCACGCATCATTTACCTGTCGTAAATAATGCACAAACAGAGAATATTGGAGTTGTTTCAGAAGTTAACGTTGAAGATCGCATCTTAAGAAATCCTCCAAATTCTAGAAGCTCTCTAGCACCCGCTTCTCTACATGGATCATCAAACTCCCACTTAGGAAGTAATCGAGGCAGAATCAGTGTTTATGGAAGCTTTCGATCCAAACCCAGACCGAAAATAACTTATGATGACCTAAATTCCACCTTATCCGCAGATATAGGTGATTCATCTTTTGTCGTTACATCAAGAAAATTTGATCCTGAAAAATTCAAGAAGCCTCATGCTTTTACAAGACCTGTTGATGAACGCCATGTCATACAAGAAAATGTACAGGTCAGTGAAATTGAAGAGGTCAAAATTATGAAGAAAATTAACCAAAATATAATGGTTTCTCAGGATCGAAGCACTAAATATCAAAATTATGGTCCAGTTGATGAAAAAGTCTCCAGAATATCAAATGGAAAAAGTACAGGTTTTGAAAATAAACATTCCATGGATGACAAAAGATTCTCCTATCTAAACTTGGAATCTGGAAAAGTCGATATTCGTAGCAAACATAAGGAATCTTCAAAGGATCGACCCATTTCATGGAACGAAGAAGCCAACGAATGGTTGCAGAAGAAGCGTGAAGCTTACAATTTAGCTACTCAAAGAATGCCGATGGAAGATTATGAAAATAAAGAAAACTTTGGTGCTAAGTCTCGAATGTCATTTAAAGAGAAGAAAGGAAGAGGAATGAAGTTTACTATATTTCGGTGATTCCACATGTCCCACATGTTTTCCAATCATCACGGAACTATTAGAACAGAAACTGAAATGTCATAGTGAATGTTACACTGGATTATATTCTACACATTTGTATAAAATAGAAGCGATAATAAACAATCATATTATTGCCTTTAAACAAAGATTTTTTGGGGTGATAATTATTTATTATACATAAACATGTGCTACAGGTCAGCTACCGAAGTAACATCACCTATCTTCAATTACCAAGTAGGAGATTCGCCAGGCGCTACTTCTCGTCTATACAATGCCGTTTTATCTTTCAAACCTGACATTCTATACACTTCTTGTTGATCAAAATAATGACCAATTGCAAAGAATATAAAAGGAATGGGTACATATTTAAGTTGCTTGTAGAATAACGCTTTACTTGCTGCAGTCATCTTATAGGTTCTGCACTACGGAGTTTTTAGCTTCGGCTTGGCTTTTCTTCCACTTCTGAGTACGACTGTAATCCGCCCAAATTGTGGTTGCTGTCAACGTGGGGAATAGAACCACTGAAATGTATCGCTTGATAGTTCCAAAGACAGTGGTTTTGCCAGATGCACCCATTAATCTGTAAATAAATGTAAACCCTAAGAAATTCAAGCTTAGGACATGCGCGTAAAGGTTATGTTCCATTCCCGTTACATAACATCTCACAAGCGACAGAAACTAAAGCCGAGTCAAATAAAGAGCCCCAAAATAATAATTTACTCATTATAAACTTAAAACATACCGATCAATCGAAACAACCTTGCGGCTTTACCGAGGATGTCGATGGGAACTTACCACTTAACCTAACTTCTGTCGACATTCACGATCTCAAGCGAAGACAAAACTCTGTACCACTTATTGCTTTTCCGAATCTTCGAACAGAAGGTACTCTGCAAAACTCGATTTTTACTAGAAATCAGTGGAACGACGGACTTACGAGTAGCTGGTTGTTGTGGCTTCAATCTTTTATTTACTCCGCTTCTCCTCGCACCGATCGAGACCCGTTCCAACCCGTTCCTACCTATTCTTCGAGCCAGCCAAAATCTGTCAGAAGTCCGCCACCTAGCAGACAATGGAGTAGCCGGCACGTCGGTAAAAATGTTCGTTGAAGTCGGTGTCCCACTGAACGCGTTGGCTGTCATACACAGCGTGCCGCGCCAATGCGTCAAGGATTAAAATCGGTTAAAATACGAGGCTCATCTCTGGAGTTACGAATTTATAAAATAGGCATTTTTTCTCGATAAAACGAATAATGTTTTTGCCAGAACCACGGAATACATTCGGATTAACACGTTAAACGTAGCGTCGATTCCATTGAACCGACACGGTAAGAATTCCATGGGAAAAAAATATGCCACCCGAAGGGAAAGTACAAGAAAACTAATACCGCGTTTAATGTATTAATGGAATGAGTATTGAAATTGTATCAAAATCGGGAGAAAAAATAAAAATGTCTACATTCCATTACCACTTAACTGTCACCTCCGATAAATCTGTGCCGAAATAAACGCATCTGAGACCCTGCAATCGTTCGAAATGATATCTGTAAAAGAAACCAGTGATAAATTTCTAATAAGCCATTGCAAGGAATTCTTGAACGAAAAAATAGGTCAAATCTGAAAATTCATTTCACACATAACACACGTAAAAATCCAACAACGCAAGTAAGGAGGAAGAATATTTATTTCGAAATTATCTACACAGTCGAGAACAAAAAGCCTTTCCAATCATTTTAATATAATATACCATAATGTAGTAAATTAGAGAATGGCTAATTATATTTGACGAGTAATTGTCAAAAGCTTGCTCGTTCGAATTTCAATACATAAAATCTGTAAAAGAGCAACTGATTGCGGTACTCATCCAGTCCGTTGAGTGCGTGTGAGCTGATTTCCTAATTTTTTCTCCCGAGACGCACGATAACCGGTAAAACCGCTACCTCTTTTTCTTTCGTTACCAAAATAACGTTGGAATCGATTCGATACTTTCGATCGACTTCAGCATCCTATTAAGTACAGTTTTGATTGGCTTTTCTCTACAGCGCGTTGACGCGCCGCGTATTGTGGGACATTCGACGCGCTCAGTGGGACTCCTGCTTACCGATCAATAGACGCGTGGCGGACGCCGCAGGGCGCGAGGGGTAGCGACGCGGCGGCGGTGGCGAAGGGGAACGCCAGCGCCCTGAAGGTGGCGCCGCGCTGCGGCCGCCCGTGGAACTAGCGTCAGGCAAGATGGCTGAACAGTGGTGACGGGTAGTGTAATGTCCGTTTGTAAGATTTCGGATCTCGGGTCGGCGCTGACGGCCTAGCGATGGCCGAGTTTAACGTCGACATCGGCAAGCTTCCCGAGGATGTACGGGAGAAGCTCGCGGAGCTGGACCTCGAGCTTTCCGAGGGTAAGTCCGCGCGGCGCAGGGTAACCCTTCTGACTCACCACCTACCGAGGTCCCTAGCCCCTTCGGGTTAATAATCGATAATTTCGGGACGTCGCCGCTTCGATTCGCGGTCAATCGGAGCCCCGTAGACGGGGAGCCTTCGTTCGCCGTGGCTCGGGGCCGCACAGGAATTCCGCTCCCGGAAAGGCGAGCGATCGAGCGATCCAGGAATCGCCGATCGACCGCACCTCCGGCTGAGGCAGAATCCTTCGTGTCCCTCGCTAACGTTTCCGAATGCCGATTCTAGGCGTCACGAAGAATGCAGCCGAATCTACGGGAGTTCGAGGGAAACCTGGGAGTGCGTTCAGGAGACCTCTTGATTACGGCGCTTGGACTGCCCGTTAGAGATTGGACGGACTGTTAGAGTGGAGAAACTGGTCCCATAATTAATTCCAGCGTCTAGTCTAGACTCAACCGAGTGCTCGGAGAGACGTTCGAGACCTGCCATGAATGAGCCCGGTGTTAACGAAGTAATTGGATAAAGAATGGACATTAAGTCATGCTTCTTTTGTGATCGATCGCGCTTCAAGTGTCGGTTACAAAGGGGAAGAACGACAGGAAGTACGTTGGCTCGAACCCATCTCGCAGCACCTGTTTGAAAGAATTTCTGAAAGATCGGGTTGCTATTCAGTGTTTCGACTACCGAATATCCTGATGACAGGGCACCTTTTTTATAGAGGCTGTCGTTATTAAGTACCAATGTCCCGAATCAGCTGATCGCCGATCAAAGAGCAATTTCTTCCACCATCGATACTCCAAGTCCTGTACTAATTACCGTCCCTCCGCATCAATGGCAAACTCGTCTAGCGTTAAGGTCGCTGATTAAAACACATGACATTCCATGACATTCGTGCTACGTTCTGGCCTGAAATAAATAGGATGCCATTCCAAGCGTGCCGGCGAAGGAAGAGGAAAATCATAGTTAATATTCGAACCGTGACACACGAGCCGTCGCGATCGATGCGCTCCATTACATCCTTGGCTATCGCGTGACATCACGATCTAACGTCATTCTTACACATTATTCAATCCCCGGTTGAACGGCGCAATAACAGGGGTCAAACGCGGTCTACCGTCTTGCCCAAAAAATGGTACAATCCTACCAATTAAGGGGCCCGACAAGCAGCACTTTATAAATTACTTCATTCCCATTCCACAAACCAACCAGCATAGCGTAACATAATTCCTGTACATTTCGCTGGGCTTAACAAGTCCTTAAGGAGACATAAAAGTACCCTCTAGGAAGCCTATCGTTTATCAAAACTCCCTAAACCCTAAGAGACCCATCATATTGGATTTTCTTCTATTAAATTCCCATATAATATTTTATAAAAACTGATAAACGATTCGGTAGCCCACTTTGAAGACATTATTCTGAAAATCGATTGACTCAGAGGGCAGTTTCGTGTCACCATGAAAATCTTTGGGAAGGACTCGATAAATTCGTACGAATTGCAATGGTGAATTGCGAGGAGAAATGGAGTATTTCGAGGGCGAGGAAAAAAAAATGGGCGGCGGTCGTGTCAAGGATTAAGGACGAGCCGCGGGTGTCCTTAGCGACGCGAGGATTCCTTAGCCCGCGGGGTCGGCGGCGGAGGAGGGGCGCGGGGATCGTGGACCGGGATGCTGGGCCGAGAGAGCGGGCGAGAGCAGGCGAGAGTGGACGGACGGCATGCCACCACTCCTTTACTCCTTCCACGCTCTTTTGCTCCGCTAAACTTTTATTTACGGAGGCGAGCTCGGCTCTCGGTCTGGCGCTCGCGGGTCTCGCAGTACGGTTCTCGTTCCGCCGCGGAATCCTGCCGGCGATCCCGGGCGCGCGTGTCTCCCGGGGGAGTCCTGGGAGAACCTCGGGAAGCTTTGTGCGGTACCTCGTCCAGGAGTGGAAGGAGCACCGGGCCGGCGAGTGCGACGAGGAGGGAGAGAGGGAGAAAGAGTGAGCGAGTGAGCGGTGTACAGGCGGAGGAAGAGGGAAGAGAGAAGAGCGAAGGCGTCAAGAGTAAGAGCAGCGCCGCTGGAGCACCGTGGAATGTGGTCGCCGTATCGCCGAGGAACCTCAAAGAAGACCACGAAGGCCGCAGCGGGATCTCTCTACGTCTACCCGGAGGACAGAACCTGGAGATCGGGAAGAGGAGCCGGTGGCCGATAGGAGGAATGCCGAGGACAGGCTCCGGTAGCGCGAGAGCGCTTCCCGGGGTGTCTTCGGGGACGGTGGGAGCTCTTCGGGGTGCACTTCAGGGGGTAGTGAGGCGCCCCTCGGGGACCCTTCCACGGGGCCCCGAGAAGGATGCCGGGGGCGCGTGAGGACTCGTATCTCGGGCTCGTCCTCTTCTCCAGGGAGGGAGGCCGAAGGGCGCCCTGAAGGGCAGGGTCGGCATCTCGGGTCGGCCGGCAGGCCGAGTGCATCCGGGTCCATGAGGTCCCTGTCCTTCGAGAACCTCCGCCGCCTGGTCGGGCGCAGGAAGGACCGTAACGAGCCGTCCTTCAAGCGCAGCGAGTCCTTCAAGAGGATCTCCATAAGGAAGAGCTACCTGGACCGGGGCAAACGGCGGAATAAATTGGAAAAGAGGGCCGATGCGGCCCCGGCGGGCCAGTTGGCCTTGGCGCAGGTGCCCGTGCTGGAGGTCAAGGCCGCGAGGGACCCCGAGAAGGGCACCATCGCGTACGACGAGTGGCTCAGTGGAGTGACCGGGTCCAGCGGCTCCAGGGACTGCAAGGAGCCCTGCAAGTCGATCGAGGATCTGGCGCCGAGTTTCAGGTCCGACCTCGCCGAGGAGATGGCGGTGCTGGCTCTGGAGGAGACCACGACTCCTGGCAGCCACTCTGGGGCGACCGGGACTGGCGAGAGCGGCTCCTCGGGGAAAGAGCCGCTCCCCGGTCTGGGGATCGGAATCGGCATCGGGATAGGTCTGGGTCTTGGCAGGATCTGGAGGGACGCCATCGGCGTGCCGTCCCCAGCTTCCACGGCGTCCGCTGGACCACCTGCCGGCAGGTCCTTGGATAGTTCCCTGAAGGACAGGCGCGGCAACGCGAGGAGCGTCGCCAGGACGGTCTCGGCACCCGAGAAGAGGCTACCCTCGAAGGCACCCGGATTCGGATTCTCCTTGTCCATCCCTCGGCTGACCAAGTTCAGGAACACTAGAAAGGCCCTCTTCGGAAGGAAAACCGCGAAGCCGGCGCCTAGCGTCAGCGCCGATGGGTACTTCAAGAGGATAACCTCGCCGAGGAGGTCAGGCTCTCGGAGAAGAGGAAGGACCGCCTCCAGGAGAGGAATCTCCAACTGCGTTCCCGAAGGGTGCCCCGCGGAAGAGGGAGCCGAAGAGGACGCGGACGAGACCGGGGACTTCGGTAACGACTTCGCTAACGACCTCGGTAACGGTACCGCGGCCGACAGCGTCGTCGTCGGCCATTGGAACGACGCCGAGGATGGAGCTTCCTCTAGGTAGGAGTGCCGAGGAATCTTGACCATCGTTCGGGCATTTTACACGCACGTCGGATTTACCGTTCTCCAAGTCGATCCCTGCGGGGGTCTAATCTCGAAGCGGAACGCACCACCTGTGTTCTTTCTTTTGTTTATCAATCTTTTGTTCTTTATCTGGAGAACGGTAACATAGAGTCGCGCCCAAGATGCCTAAAGGATGCTCCAGGTTCACCCCCCCGCCGGTTGGTTTCCATATTTCAGGTATTTCCGGTCGAGGAGCCCCGTGGGATTCGTCATCCCCGAGAGGAGGAAGTCGAGGAGGCAACGGCGGGTCTGGAGAGAGATCCGGTACTTCCCCGAAGAAGAGGATCCCGTTGACTGGAGGAGCCACGACGCGTCCTCCAACGTCTCGGCCGACGAGTTCGACGACCAGAAATTGCTACTGTCCGGAGATTTCAACGAGAGGAACGTCTCTACCGTGAGATCCCCCGGCTCTTCTCTAGGTGCCTCGTCCTCGGCGGCGACCTCATCGTCGTCCTCGACCTCGTCGGAGTTCGACTACACCGCCGTAGCGTTCGAACGGAAGATCAGCGACTTCAACGAGGAGAAGATCTTCTGCAGGGGCCTCGCCGGCAGGAGCAACGGGCGAGGCCGCGGACAAGGTCGCGTCTGGAATCAGCAGGTCAACTCCTCGACGAACAACTTCTTCGCCAGCCGGCAGTTCCTGGGGTTCCTGTCGAAGCCCACGTGCAGAAGGGACTTCTCCGCGGGGAGCGGGGCTCGCAGTTACAGGTGCCTCACCAGTAGCGAGAGCGAGGTGGAGAACGAGATCCAGGGGGGCGACTCCGGTACCAGGACCCTGAAGAGGCCCCACGTGGGGCCGCAATTCGGGCCGCCTGCCGGAAATCGAGCCGCCCAGCGAGCCATCACCTCTCAGGCCGGCATCCAGGCACCCCGAAGAAGACCCCTACGTCGCAAGTCCCAGTTAAGGCGAGCCTGCTCCGGCCAGCCGGTCTACCTTGTCAGGAAAACCTCCTCCCTGAGGAGGCGACCCAGTAAGGACCTCCAGTAACGGCGAGAACTCCCTCCTCTCCCATCTTTTTCACCTTGGTCTTCGAGACCTTCCCGACGAATCGGAGGGCGGCGACCCCGCACCCTTCTTCGGGGGTCAATTGATAGAGACGGGAAGCCGTCGACGAGGTCGCTCGCTCTCGTTGATCGCTTCCTCGTGTCTGGCCCCCTCGAGTTGCTCCCCATTATGGGGAGTGAAACTCCTTTTCCTACGTGGTTCGGGGTCATCGGTGCGAGTCATTGTGTCGCGACAATGACTGTGGCGGAATGGGACGGTTTGCACAAAACCCGGGGGAGACGGGCGACGAGGCCTCCGCGCCAATTATCGGAGCTCGTCTCGCCGCCTCTCGTTGTAGAGCTGCGTTACGCAGGCCGAGGCTCGCGTATTCCTCGCCTTGGCCTACGGCGAACGGTACACGACTCCGTAATAATTCCGTATCGGTGCAACGAGCGCATCGGGCGCACCGAGGGGAGTACTTAGTGCGCCGGTCAAGTCGACGCCGAGCGTCCGGATGCCTCGAAATAAGCGAAGGACGCGCTTCCAGCCGGAACGATCGCTCCGCGGATCGCATTTAGATCGCTGTCGATTTATAAACTGGTAGTCAAGGCCGCAGGTGTAGCTGGCTAAGAGGTCCCGCCCCGACCTCTTCCTTGTTAAATTACCGATTGGTATCTTCCTGTTAACGCGAACCGATAATAACTGGCGAACGGCGCCGGGGTAGATTAATATGACACGAAAGCCGGCATTGAGGTTTGGGTCCCTAATGTGAGGTTCTTCATTCCAGGGGACATCACGCAGAAGGGGTACGAGAAGAAGAGGACCCGCCTCCTGCAGCAGTACGCGTCGAAGCAGTTCGGTAAGGGCTCTCTTCGGGGCCCTCTTCGGGGCATCTTCCGACACGTCGCTCTTTTCGGCCGCTGCTGCGAGAGGCTTTGTGTATTCTATTTTTCTTCACGCTGCGGGGACTTCCGAAGACACCGGATTTATGAGGCCTTTGGGGAATGGTACCTGGTTCGGCGTAGAGTATTGGATGCGTTGTATGGGATCGCCTTTCACTTTGGACACGTCTCGCGTTTAAATTCTTAGATTTATGAGATTATTGGACGCATTTCGACATACGGGCGAAATTCTTCCGACCGTGCAGGCAATATTGGACCAAACGTCGAGCCCGTTTAGGCGGTCTTCGTAGCCAAAGGGTTAATAATATCTGTTCTAAATGTGGTATACATGAAATTGAAGGTTTTTTCTTTTTTTTTTCTCCCAGGAAACAATGTTTCGAAAATTTGGACACCGTTGAGTTCGGGATCTTAGCGGAGAATGAGTAGCCCTAGAATTCCATAAGTAAGATTTATCGTAAACTGTGTCCAATATGAAGGGATGCCACCGTGTACATTTTCAAAAATGTGTTCAGAACAAATATCGAAACGTAACAGCTTAGCGGAAGAATAAGTAGCTCTAGGATTCCAAACGTAAGGTTCATCATAAGCTGTGTCCAATATGAAGGGATGCTACCGTGTACATTTTCAAAAATGTGTTCAGAAGAAATATCGAAACGTAACAGCTTAGCGGAAGAATAAGTAGCTCCAGGATTTTATATGTAAGGTTTATCATAAACTGTGTCCAATATGAAGGGATGCCACCGATGTATCCGAGATATACCGATGTAGGCCGATGTGTCCAATACCTGTGTCCAATGGTCCGGGGCGAAGCGAATCTCTCCCTTGTTTAGAGGGGAGGGACGCGCCTATGACGTTATCACCTCGAGGTAGGACGGACGTGTCAAGGTCGAGGTGTCTTCGGAGGTCCTGTGGAGGAGGTGCGGTGCTCGGGATTTCGGGGGAGTCCGAAAAAGGCGAACGTAGGGAGCGTGCGCGGGGATGGTTGGGTGTCGCGTTGTGACGTGTCACCTGTGCAGGAAATGGAAACGGCCTTGGCTGCGGTAGCGACGGTGGCGGAGGTGGCGGAGGTGGTGGAGGTGGTGGAGGTGGTGGGGTAGGCATCGGAGGACGCCCTCAAGCACGCGCGCGACGCACGCAACGTCGCGTCACGCACTCCGAGAAAAGATATCACTCAGGTACCAACCCCGAAGAGCGCCCACCGGAAATGCCGTCCTCTACCATCCCCTAGCTCGTCCACGTTAGGGCGATCCTTCGAGCGATTCTCACTCTTGGCTCTCCCTTCATCTTTTTTTTGCATTTTTATTTTACACACTTTTTTTCCACCCCGGGCCGCCCTGGGCGAAAAATCCACTCTCTGCGCGAAATTACTTGCCGCAATCTAAACTTTTCATCCTGAAGACATTTTTTGGCTCCAGTAAAATTGATATTTTAAGGATTGTCAGGGCTGCAATACAAATGATAAGTTAACGTCAAGTGGGAATGATTTTGCAAGAAAAAAAAAAACGAACATTTTAGATAGAATGTTATAGTGAACTCGACCTACTTAATTTGCATTAGTGTAAAAAACAATTACTAGCGAGTAAATATTGTTTGAAGTCAACGCAAGAACGAGTTCACCGGGAACTGTTAGAGGTTGAGAGTTCCTCTAAGGTGTTGCAAAAATATCGTCAATTCCTTCAGTCTCTTCTACTCTTTGAAATGAACATTTCATTCCATCGCGTTCATGCAAGGAAAGTATAACGATAATGAAGGTTGATGAAGCTGAGATGGGGAAAATTGAGCGTTGCCTGTAATTCGACTTAATCTCGTTCGGTCTTACTTTTGCCGATAGGTGGTAAAAATTCTCCCCAGAAATTTCGTTTTCTTCTGTAAAGTAATTTTTTCTTTCACCCAGTGCCGACCGACGTCCCCGCTGCGGTTTATCCTTAGAGCCTCCCTTTTTGCCCCGGCATGAACCGCAATGCCGAAGAATCGCCACGAAGGATGCGCCTCTCGTACGAACCATGTCTCGCCATTGTCAGAACCCTCTCGAGGGATCGATCTCTCTCGACCGTCTGTAAATAAGACCAGGACATAGGCTGCACCGCCACGTTAACCGCCTCATCTCGGACGGAGGAACGTCGAACAATCTCGTCCCTTTACCTTCGCTTCTAATTGTTTATAAATAATAAGAATCTCGGGACACGACGTTTCTCCCGTCCACGAGGAAAATCGCACCGTATTTTTCCATCACATTCGCTTGCGCTCCCCTTCTCTGCCTATCTATCTATGTTCCTCTGTCGCTCTCTTTCTTTCTCACTGCTCCACCGTTGAGTTGCACTTGCGGCTTTTTTTATGTTTCTTTTTTTTTCCCTTTTTATTTTTCTTTTTTTCTTTCACCTGGAACTAACCGGAGCCTTTGGTAGAGCGCGTGCGCGCGCCTGGTGGTCGGGTTGATAAAAATCATTTCTTTAAAAAAAAAATAGAAAATAATTAATATGTTAATTAAATCACGACTAAAATCAGGATTCTTTTTTCAACTATTTTATTTATTCAAATTAAAACCTTGTTGGGGGGATTGGGGGAAATCGATATTACGCGGAAGCTGTCGTCATTTATTTCCGTGAGTAGGAATGTTGATAAAAGGGTATTCTTTGTGAGGGTTTGTACACCGGCGGACATGATCGCCGTTACATCGTATATCGGTAACACAGTATCTGGAGGGAAGGCATTTATGTTCATATGTGTACATTCAAATGTTAGGAATAGATAGAGGGCAATCAAGAGACATCTCAATTGGTATTTTCTTTTAATCGTAATAATTAAACCGTGTATATTACCATTTGTTTAAGAATATTATTTTCTGGTATTTTTGGGCGGTTCGCTTGTTTGAAAAACCTAAAGGATACAGATTAGTCTATGTTTTGTAAGTATGTTACGATTCGAACTTTTACATTAGCTTTTAACTCTAAAGATCCTAATAATGTGATCGCGACGTTTTACATATTTACATATTATTCTTTATAAAAGTAAGTATAGATTCTCAAAACATATCAAGATAATTTCGCGGTACAATAGAATCGTAACTTATTCCTGCATACAATCCTGCCGGTCGTAATCATTTTCATGGTCTAATGCACATTCTGACATGGCAGTGCAAATTCGCGCTACGATAGAATTTATTACAATTGCAATTTTAAAAAATCAAACAGTCGTTACAAAATCGGTGATTTCAATTGTGATTTTATAAAATAAAAACCAGTCTGTTAATATCCACGATTTCAGCTCTGATATTTTAAAGATAACGTTCCGTCGATTGAAATCTATGGCTGTTTAAAAATAACAATTAGTCGATATAACTCAATGATATCAATAGTGATTTTAAAAAGTAAAAATTAGTCGATTAAAATCGATGTTGTCAATCGTGATTTAAAAAAAAAAGCAATCAACTGGTTAAAATCGACGATTTTAATCGTAATTTTTTTGTTTCAAATAACAATCTGTCGATAAAAATCGATGACGTTAACCGTGATTTCTGACAAAAATAACAATTAACTGGTTAAAATCGACGATTTCAGTGGTGATTTTTAAAATATAATAATCCGTCGATAAAAATCGACGGTCAATCGTGATTTTTGACAAAAATAACAATTGGTTAAAATGGACGATTTCGATGGTGATTTAAAAATAAAATAACAATCGTCGATAAAAATCGATGATGTCAGTCGTGATATTTGTCAAAAATAACAACTGGTTAAAACGGACGATTTCGATGATGATTTAAAAAAAATTGACAATCCGTCGATAAAAATTGATGTCAGTCGTGATTTTTGTCAAAATTAACAACTGGTTAAAATGGACGATTTCGATGGTGATTTAAAAGAAAAATAACAATCCGTCGATAAAAATCGATGATGTCAATCGTGATTCAAATCGGCCCAACCCTGCCTGGCGGTAGCGTGTAGAGCCGGCCGCAGGGCGCGGCGAGATCCTCGCTTCGAGGCCTAGAGATGTATCCTTCTGTTGTGCACGCAGGAGGAAGGCTAGTCCCTGGCGGTATCGTCAGTCCTCCAGGATCCGGAGGATCCACCGGTAACACCGCTAACTCGAATTCCGCAGCCGCGAGACGCGGAAACCGCCGGCTTACGCGGAACGAGAGCCGCTACCACTCCGGTGAGTACGGGGCCCGGGGTTGCATTGGGTATATTTCTTTTTCTTTTCCATTTTGTTTTTTTATTTCTTCTTTTTCGTCCTTTTCTTTTACCTGCATCCTTCGTCTCGTTCGTTTTACAATACCTGCCGACGTTAGCGGCAGAAGTGCTCCCGTAAGCGGAGGCTGCGGTTGCGGCATCGACGGGTCCTTCATTTGTTCGTTTACGTGGAACTCGGGCCGACTAATTAACCGCCGTGGAAATGGAAAATGGCTTAACGGGACCATCTATGCCGATGCCTCGCCGATCGGTCGTATCGGTTACGGTTCTTGTCGTCGCTCAATTACGACACCGTGACGGACCGCTTATCGGCAATGGGCTTGTTGCGCGGCCTGTAAGTGTCGTCGCGTTTCCCCGTGGCCTAGCTTCTCGAGGGGAATTGCGCGAAACCGGCGGCTACCGAGGGCACTTGAAATACGTGCTTGGGTGATCAGGGTGCCGTGGAGGAGTTGCTCCAGGATCGAGCTCGCATGCTCGTGTCTTAAGATGAATTGAAACACGTCCACTTCTAATGTTTTGCCCAAAATGAAATTTCATGGGTGTCAGGACCTTCTCTAGGACCTTCATATTAACTTGGTAAACGTTAAACGAATTAATATACCCAATTATGAGGAACGATCACAAGCAATGGGCTTGTTGCGCGGCCTGTAATTGTCGTCGCGTTTCCCCGTGGCCTAGCTTCTCGAGGGAAATTGCGCGAAACCGGCGGCTACCGAGGGCACTTGAAATACGTACTTGGGTGATCAGGGTGCCGTGGAGGAGTTGCTCCAGAATCGAGCTCGCATGCTCGTGTCTTAAGGTGAATTGAAACACGTCCACTTCTAATGTTTTGCACAAAATGAAATTGCATGAGTGTCAGGACCTTCCCTAGGACCTTCATATTAACTTGGTAAACGTCAAACGAATTAGTATACCCAATTATGAGAAACTTGAGATGAGAATGAGAATTATGACATTCCACATACGTGCTTGGGTGATCAGGATGCCATGGAGAAGTTGCTCCAAAATCGAGCTCGCATGCCCATGTCTTAAGGTGGGATGAAAGTGGCGTTTGAGGAGTTTCATTTGGGAAACTTTTTTTTCCGAAGTGGAGGTCGGGAATCGCATGACATTTTAGCACATCCTCCGGACCCTCAAGATGCGTACTTAGGTGATCAGGATGCCGCGTAGAAATATCACCAAGACCGAACTCGCATGCTCTTGTCTTAAGGTGGGATGAAAGTGGCGTTCGAAGGGTTTCGTTTGTGAAGCTTTTCTTCGAAGTGAGGGTACCGAGGAATTTTCATATTTTACCACCTTAATGTGGAGACCCTAACAAAGGTCCCAACGCCCATAAAATTTAATTTCTATAGAGATTTAAAAAAAAAATGGAATTTCATAGGTACATATCTTAAGGCGGCATCAAAGTGGCGACTGAGGGGTCTGGTTTATGGAACTTTCATCGAAATGGGTGCACCGAGTCTATTGAAATTTTACCACGTGGCTGCGGAGGTCCTAAGAAAGTATCGGACCCTCATAAAACTCTATTTCTTAAATTGAAATTTCATGGGTGTCAGGACCTTCCCTAGGACCTTCATATTAACTTGGTAAACGTCAAACGACTTAGTATACCCAATTATGAGAAAACGATGACAAGCGACTGGCTCCCGAGATGCCACGTTTGTATCATCTTAAGCAGGTTTAAATGCGAGAAAGGACTAAAACGGAAACCGGCAAAAGCGATATATACTATACGAAAGGGAGAAAGGAAAGGTAGAGGTAGGGAGAGGACGCCGGTGATGATAGTCGCTCCACTCCCAAGAGTTCTCCTCTTGGGACGATAGTATGGTTTAATTTTCGTTTTTGTCTTTTGACAAATCACTGGTGGGGGCAGGCGAGTAATCGGGAGAAAGGAAACGGGGAGAGGAAGAGAGAGGGCGACATTCTATAAAAGTACGTAGAGAGGATGACGTTTAAAGTATGCGGATTCATTTTTCAGAGGTGCGCCAGGAGGCGGTGCAGCAGGCCCTAGCGGCGATGCAGGGTCGTCCTAAGCCGTCCTTGCCGATGCCCTCGAAGAGGACCTCCGTGATGGCGCGGAGTCCGGAGCGGGAGAGGGAGAGGGAGAGAGAACGAGAGAGGGACCGCGACCGGGACCGGCTAGAGAGCGGCGAGTCCAGCAGCGACGAGGACAGCGTGGTCACCGAGGAGAGTCCCAGTCCTGGGGCCGGTGGTCCCACGGGAACCGGCCTCTCGGATACCAGCAGCACGGGCTCTGCCCGCGACACCCCGCCCCCGCCTCGACCCCCCGCCAGGAGGCCCCCTGCAGACATCACGGACATCGCCGAGTACGCCGCCCACGTGGCCTACTGCAACGTGCAGCCCCCCGACGTGACCCACGGTATGGTCGACTCTGTCGCGACGTTACCGTACACTGAGAGAACAAGTCACCTCCTAGGGAATAACTTCTTGTCTCGAGATATCTACTGCTGTTGACTAAACAAGGTCGGATGAAATTAAGATGATAGGAAAGGCGCTGAGAAATTTAATCCAGGTCGATAAATTAAAGTTCATCTATACCCTCTTTGGTGGTAACGTCATTTTGAACACTCAAGTGGGAACGTAAGCTAGCGCGTCACGTTACCGACATTTATATTTATGTTGAAGACTTTTTACAGTCCACGTTGAGAATTATACGAACTGAAGCGTCCCATATGTCATTTCAGTGAAGTTATGATTAAGAGATCGATGTAAAACTGTCGAAATCCCGTGAATTCATTATTCTAACGACGGTTTAGGACCACCGTCGCCATCTGTGACGATTAGCCGGAACTAAATTTTTGCTCTAAAGACACGCGTTAGCCATGAGACAAGTCAGCATTCTCTTGCAATCGTTGGTGAAAATATTTTCCTATCTGACTCTGTAACATTCCATTTCTACGATATTCTAAATTGTTCCAACACGCATAATTCATAACAAAATTAATTTTACTTGGATGCTAGGATTTAATCCAGAGGCCAGACACGTTGGTAAAGAGATCAGGTTTGAGCTGGAATTAATGAGAACCTAAATTTTCAGGTACGGCCCAGTCGAGGAGACCGTGCGCCGACCGGGTGAACCGGTACCACGCGGTGGAGGACAGCACCGGTACCACCGGCCGGTGGAAGGTCTCCGCAAAGATTCAGCAGCTCCTCAACACCCTGAAGCGGCCGAAGCGCCGACCCCTGCCGGAGTTCTACGAGGACGACGACATCGAGCTGGAGATCGCGGCGAACCCGAAGGACCCGAACGCGCCGAAGCCGGAGGGTAGCTCGATGACCTCGGCCGTAGGCGAGGTCCTGGCGGTGCCCTCGGGTCTGCCGAGGTCCCTGGAGGCCGCCGTGCAAAGGTACGGTTCGGGATCCTACAAGGCTCCGGCAGCGACCGTTCTCGACCCCAACGGGAAGCTCTGTGTGACCCTGACCTACGGCAAGCTGCTGAGCCGCTCGCACAAGATAGCCTACACCCTTCTGAACAAGGCCCTGGGCCGTGGCGGCGAGTGCTGCCTCAAGCCTGGAGACCGCATCGCCCTGGTCTACCCTAACAATGACCCCATCAGCTTCATGTGCGCATTCTACGGCTGCCTCCAGGCTGGGATCGTCCCAGTACCCATCGAGGTACCTCTGACGCGACGCGATGCAGGGTCTCAGCAGATCGGGTTCCTCTTGGGGAGCTGCGGCATCCAGGTAGATGTCGTTCTTTGCGTTGGTTCCGCGAGGTGCAAGAACTACGAGGTAATGCTCTTCTTGTATGTGCAGGTGGCTCTGACGAGCGAGGCCTGCCTCAAGGGCCTTCCCAAGACCGCAGCGGGCGAGGTCGTCGCCTTCAAGGGCTGGCCGAAGCTCCACTGGTTCGTCACCGAGCACCTGGGGAAGACGCCGAAGGACTGGCTGCCGCCTCCGAGACTGACCGACGACACCGCTGCTTACATCGAGTACACCACCGACAGAGATGGCTCCGTGATGGGCGTTACCGTTACCAGGGCTGCGATGCTCGCCCATTGCCGGGCCCTGACCATGGCGTGTGGGTACACGGAAGGCGAGAACGCCGTCTGCGTGCTGGATTTCAAGCGCGAGGTCGGCCTCTGGCACAGCACCCTCACGAGCGTGCTCAACGGGATGCACGTCGTCTTCATCCCCTACGCCCTGATGAAGGTGAATCCTGCCAGCTGGATGCAGATGATCACGAAGCACAGGGCCAGCGTCGCGGTGGTCAAGTCGCGCGACCTTCATTGGGGCCTCCTGGCCACGAAGGACCACAAGGACGTGTCCCTGTCGTCGCTGAGGTTGCTGCTCGTTGCGGACGGCGCGAATCCCTGGTCGCTGTCCTCGTGCGACCAGTTCCTCTCGGTGTTCCAGTCGAAAGGGCTCAGGCCGGATGCCGTGTGTCCTTGCGCGTCTTCCAGTGAGGCGCTGACGGTGTCGGTCAGGAGGCCTGGACGAGCAGGAGTCAACGCGACCGGTCGCGGCGTCCTCTCCATGTCCGGCCTCAGCTACGGCGTCGTCAGGGTCGACCAGGAGAATTCTCTGACGTCGCTCACCCTGCAGGACTGCGGCCAAGTCATGCCTGGGAGTGAGTCCAGCTTCTTGAGTTCCTCTCCCCGGATGGGACCGTGATTCACCCCTCGTCCTTCCCCCAGGCGTCGTCGTCGTTGTCAAGATGGAGGGCCAGCCCTTTGTCTGCAAGACGGACGAGGTCGGCGAGATCTGCGTGAACAGCGCCGCCACCGGGAGCCAGTACTGGGGCCTCCAGGGCCTAACCAACAACACCTTCAAGGTGTCGCCTCTACAGGCGGACGGGACGCCTCTGGGCGACGCCGAGTACACGCGGTCCGGGCTTTTAGGGTTCCTGGGACCTGGAGGACTGGTCTTCGTTTGCGGGTCCAGGGACGGCCTGATGACCGTCACCGGCCGGAAGCACAACGCCGACGACATCATCGCCACCGTCCTCGCGGTCGACCCGAAGAAGTTCATCTACCGCGGGAGGATCGCCGTCTTCAGCGTGAGGGTCCTGCGGGACGAGAGGATATGCGTCGTCGCCGAGCAACGGCCGGACTGTAGCGAGGAGGAGGTATTCTCATCCACGCTTATGTTTCTTCTTTCCGTTTCCCCCGTTCTTTCATTTTTTTTTTCCTCTCTTTCTCCTCCCGGTTTTCCCTGGAGAACGACGTCCGAGGTGCGTCCGCTCCGCGTCACGCTTCCAGCTAATAGATAATCCACGAATGATCGCCGAGCGCGCAGTGGGCCCGGTCCCCATTCCGCATCGCGATCATTCGGAGTAGAGAAACGAAGAGGTGTACGGCCATCTTCACCGAGAATTAATCCATCGATCGTGCTTCTCGCTGGTGCAGAGCTTCCAGTGGATGTCGAGGGTCCTCCAGGCCGTGGACTCGATCCACGCGGTCGGTATTTACTGTCTCGCCCTAGTGCCGCCGAATTATCTCCCAAAGACGCCCCTCGGCGGGATCCACCTCTCGGAGACGAAGAGGCGGTTCCTCGAGGGCACCCTGCACCCCGCCAACGTGCTGCTCTGTCCGCACACCTGCGTGACGAACCTGCCGAAGCCTCGCGAGGTGCACTCGGGTAAGTGGTGCGACCTCGGGGTCCGGTCGGGCCCCGAGGACGCGTTCTAACGTCTCGTCGTAGCCGGGACTGCTTCTTGCAAGCTGGGGAACGGGAACCGCCGGTCCTCGTTCGGTTCCGTGCACCTGGGAGGCCTCTCTTTCCCAAAACGGGGCCCGGATAGGTGGGTGGCACACGAGGACCGCTCTGGCACGCTGACGGGGATCTGCCATGGGGGAGGTGTCTTTCTTCTTATTTCGGTTCGCTCTGCTCTGTCTCTTCGGGGTCTCTAGACGCTCCCTGATTTGCCGGCCTCTAAAGCGGGGGAGCTGCATTCGTTATCATCTCGGGATTATAGAGCGTTTGCGTTGGTTTACTAACGGCATGGTGCGGGGGCGTGTAGCGGGGGATTCTGTTGCAGACGTTGGTCCGGCCAGCGTGATGGTGGGCAACATCGTCCAGGGCAACCGGCTGGCCTCGGCTCAAGGTCGGGACATGGGAATCCTGGACGAGGACAGCGACAACGCCAGGAAGGTTTGTCGTCCTCCTTTCCCTTAAGGCGATATGTAAATGGCGTCTCAGGAACCCCGTTTATGAAGCTTCTCTCAAAACTGAGGGTTCCGAATCGTTTGAAATTATTCCACCGGGATATGGGAGCCCCAAAGAAGGTCCTGACCATCGTGAAATTTAATTTAATTGCAACACGTACGTCGACACGTTACGTTACAGATTAGATGTCGATAACGAAGATACTTAGAATTTCTTCTTTACCCACAACGATTAAAATGTGAAAGTGGCATCCGAGGGGTCAATCGTTCATGAAACTTTTCTCCAAACTGAGTGTATCAAATCGTTTCCAATTGTACCAAATCGTTCACAATGTTAATGTAGAGGGTACAAGCAAGGTTCTGACGCTCATGAAATTTAATTTTGTATAATAAGTATTAAGGATACCTATGAACAAACTTTTTAAAAAATTGAAATCTCCTTCGATAAAGCCTTTACATTCACGTTATGAAGTTTGAAACGATTCGGTAGACCCAGTTTGAAGAAGTTTCATAAAGGCCACTTTCACATCACCTTAAGCTGCCCTTTAAATCGGAGCCAAGGGAACTAACTCGTCCGATTTGGTTCAGTACCAGTTCATCTCGGAGATCCTGCGGTGGCGCGCGGTCAGCACCTCGGACCACGTCATCTTCACCTCGCTGAACGCGAAGGGAGCCGTCGCGACGTCCTTGTCGTGCTCGCAACTTCACAAGAAGGCCGAGCGCATCGGCAACCTCCTTCTGGACAAAGGAAGGATCAACACGGGGGACCACGTGGCGCTGATCTTCCCTCCGGGAACGGATCTGATCTGCGCCTTCTACGGGTGCCTCTACGTCGGCGCGGTGCCCGTCACCATCAGGCCTCCTCATCCCCAGAACCTCCAGACGACCCTGCCGACCGTGCGCATGATAGTCGACGTCAGCAAGTCCGTCCTCGTGCTCTCCAACCAGAACATCCTGAAGCTTCTAAAGACGAAGGTAAACCCTCGCCAGTCATCGAATACCACCCACCGAACGAGTCCTCGTAGCCGATTCCTAATACCCCGCAGGAGGCCAACAACGTCGTCGAGGCGAAAACCTGGCCGACCATCCTGGACATGGACGACATGCCGAAGAAGAAGCTTCCCGTGATGTACCGAGCCCCGACCGCGGAAATGCTGGCCTATCTGGACTTCAGCGTCTCGACGACGGGCATGCTGGCCGGCATCAAGATGTCCCATGCCGCGGTGACCTCGCTCTGTCGCGCCATGAAGCTCGCCTGCGAGCTCTACCCCTCTCGACACATAGCTCTCTGCCTGGATCCGTACTCAGGACTGGGATTTGCGTTGTGGTGTCTTAGTAGTATCTACAGCGGCCACCACTCGATCCTCGTGCCGCCTTCAGAGGTGCGTAGACCCCGAAGAAGTAGCCCAAGTCGAGCGACCAGGGTTGGATATCGTACCCTTTCCGCAGGTCGAGGCTAATCCGGCGCTCTGGCTGTCCACGGTGAGCCAGTCCAGGGTGAGGGACACCTTCTGCTCTTACGGCGTGATGGAACTCTGCACGAAGGGCCTGGGCTCCTCGGTGCACGCCCTGAAGGCGCGAGGGGTCAGCTTGGCCTGCGTTAGGACCTGCGTCGTGGTTGCCGAGGAAAGGCCGCGAATCGCCCTGACGACGAGCTTCAGCAAGCTCTTCTCCGCCCTTGGACTGAGCCCCCGAGCCGTGTCCACGTCCTTCGGGTGCAGGGTCAATACCGCGATCTGCCTGCAGGTTTGTATTACCGTTGAAATGGTATCTAGAGCCTCCTAATGACGATCCTCGTCTTTCTTCAGGGTGCCTCCAGTCCCGAACCCTCCACCGTCTACGTGGACTTGCGAGCTCTTCGCAACGACCGGGTCTCCCTGGTGGAGAGGGGAAGTCCTCACTCTCTCTGCCTTATGGAATCCGGCAAGTTGCTGCCCGGCGTCAAGGTGATCATCGCCAACCCGGAGACCAAGGGCCAGTGCGGCGACTCCCACCTCGGCGAGATCTGGGTGCAATCTTCGCACAACGCCAGCGGGTATTTCACCATCTACGGGGACGAGAGCGATTACGCGGACCACTTCAACGCCAGGCTGGTCACCGGAAACACCGGCGAGGTGTATGCGCGCACCGGGTACCTCGGGTTCCTGAGGAGAACCGAGAGCGTTCAGCAGTCCGCCGTCGGTGACGTCGCCGCGGACTCACCGGGCATCGCTTCCGAGGGTGACGTGGGTTCCTCGGATGCCGAGCTCCACGATGCCGTTTTCGTCGTCGGGGCACTCGACGAGGCCATTCTCTTGAGGGGGATGCGGTACCATCCCATCGACATCGAGAACAGCGTCATGAGGTGTCACAAGAAGATCGCCGAATGGTTAGCCCTTGCCCTCCATTCCTTCTTGGCGAACCCGAAGCTCTTCGTCTTCGCGGATTCCCTATTAGAAACTAGATGGTTAACGATATAAGGAAAGGGGCACCACTACGTCCTAGGGGATATCCTTTACACCCCATTTTACCATTTATTTAATGTCAGATGGTATTCACCCTGGTGCCTTCATGTCTGTGATACTTTGCATTAAAAAGACGATTCGTATGGTAGTAGATATTTTTAAACGTCACGATATGGATCCGAGAACCTGGAATCCAGTTTGAGGCACAAACAAAATTAACAGGCCTATTAGAATGTTTCTGTGATGTAGACGTTTGTGCCATGTTGAGTTTTGTTTGTGGCATTTTTTTTATATAAAAACCAGAGCTATTAAAAAAATTAACAAATTCCGACAAGGACCATTTTTACGTTTTTGAGGTTCAAACATCCAGTCGAGCCGAATCCGGTTGAGCGCCGTATTTTCCATTATTAGCGGTCTATGTTAGCGATCTAGTTAATTATTAAAAATCCGTGATCTTCGTCCTTGTCTTCATCTTCATTTGCGCTTTATCATTCCGTTCGCAGCGCCGTCTTCACGTGGACCAATCTGCTGGTGGTCGTCGTCGAGCTGGACGGCAGCGAGAGCGAGGCCCTGGACCTGGTGGCCCTGGTGACCAGCGCAGTCCTCGAGGAGCACCACCTCGTCGTCGGGGTGGTCGTCGTCGTCGACCCCGGCGTGGTCCCCATCAACTCGCGCGGGGAGAAGCAGCGGATGCACCTGCGAGACGGTTTCCTCGCGGACCAGCTGGACCCCATCTACGTAGCGTACAACATGTGAACCGCCGATCGGTTCTTACCGGGCATTCAGGTCACCGCGATCTCCGTTCCCACCGACTCAGCCGCACTCCGGCTCGTTTGCGTCGTCGATCGGTACCAGGGATCGTCTCTCCTCGTAGGACCCTCTTTCGAGTACTCCTGGAGACCCTCTAGGACCTTGATAACGCGCCTTAAGCATCTCCTTGGACGTCTTCTTGTACCTTCGCTTCTTGCGCACCCACTCGAGGCGATGGACACCCTGAAGAGGTGCCTATCGTCTCCGGTGGAGGTGCTCGAATTTTATCGGGTAGGCGGTGGATCGCCACGTACAAGCGGATCCTTGTTCAAGGAAGATGAGAAAGGATCTTCCCCCGCGTGGGAAAGCGTCAACCGTAGGGTACACGACGAACGTGGGACGTGCGAATCGTCCCGGTCGCTAATTGACAGGACGTTTCCCTCGCACATCGCGCGGTTAATTGCTAGAATGGGAGGAGTGACCTTTTAATTCCGCGCGTCCGCGGAATACGGGGAGAGGAGAGATATCCCGTGGTTCTCGTCGACGGAAAACCCACAGAGGCGAAGGACGACAACGCGTAAAGGCCACCCTGGCTATCGAATGCGCACAGGGGCAGCTATTGCGCCTCCTCCTCTTCTTTTCGACCAGTTTTTTACGGGATTTGGCCGTCGTTATCGTAGCCTAGGTAAAGAATTAACGCTAAGAGGCGCTCGAAATAGCCCCACGTGGTGGATAACAGGACCCCCCTCGGGTTGTCCGTCTTTTTTATTAACAATCGTCTGCGCTAGCCTGTACGTGATCTTTTATACTGTAGGAACACTCGTCGCCCTGAGTGATGGGGGACGTTTAACACGGGAGAAAGAATACGAAATGCAACAAGAGATATATACGTAGATCGATCGACGGGGAGGTACACAGGTGTGGGCCGATTAGCTTGCGAATCTTGTGAGGACGTAACGCGAGATGGAACGATTGGACAACCGGACGTCCAATATAGTCAGTAGACGTACAGTCATGTATCCTTAGACGCACAATGAGAGACGAGGAAAGGAACGGACAGAGAGCAAGGGAACCGAACGTTGTCTTGAGCGCGCGACTGCCGAAACTCGCCGATCTTTCCCTGGACCAGGATTATTTATTTGTAACGAGAGAGGAGTATTGCGGAGGACTTTTATGCGACACCTCGCGTAGGCGTAACGAGTTTTAATCACTTCCTTTCGTGGTAGCCTTCGTTTTAACGTCGTAGCTCGTTAAGCGGACGTCTCGAGGAACGGATCTCTCGGGGACCTCGAGGTGTCGCGAGTGACCGATTACTCGGTTATTAATTTATTCTCGCCCTCCCCCCCACGTTTCCGCAGCTCTCGGTTATACAGAATTGTCGACTCGCGGTGTGATCGGCTATTTTCGACGGGCCTGCGGCGCGACGCGACGTCGATGCGACGGTGACGCGACGTCGACGCGGCCGCGCCCGTCCCCTTCCTCCCGCCAGGGAGACCTGTACATTTGTTAATAGTCTTATAATTTTATACCTTTGCGTTTTTAACCGCTCTTCGCGATTACGACCTAGGACGTAGATCTATACGTAGGCATCGCCATGTACACCGCGGCCGACATTGCGGGACGACGACGCGTCGCCGTCTAGCGGCCGTCTGCCGTAACTTTTGCCCGTTCCGTAGGTGAGGAATAAACGATGGCGGAGAATCTGCTCTCCTTCATTTATTAAGGCCGCCCCCCTTTTTATGGTCGATTCAGACTACTCGATACACTCGACGAAACTTTGTTAAGGTGGATTCATGCCGATTGATACTTTGTAAGGGTCGATTCAGGCTGTTCGGTACTTCTCGATGGCGATGCGGAAATGCATCGTTAAGGTCGACTTGGACTGTTCTAAGCGAATCGGTTGAGCCACTTTTGCAAGTATTGCTCTGGCAAAATGTTCTGACACGTGGTTCAATGGCACGGTTCAATGTGTACGCAGGTCGATTAGGGTGAACGGTGCCATTGAAGCGCGTTTTAATCCCGTCATGCGTATAGTGTCAATGATGACATTGAGCGTGTGTTAGGGGGTGCGGAAGTGGCATCTGAGAAGTCAATCGTTCATGATGCTTTTCTCCAAAGTGGGTGTATCGAATCGTTTCAAACTTTGGAACGTGAATAGAGAGGCTGTAAGGAAGGTCTTGATACCCGTGGAATTTCATTTCTTCTTTTTTACAAAAACAATGTTGAAATGTCTATAAATAAATTGAGAAAAAAATTGAATTTCATGGGTGTCAGCACTTTTAGGTTTCGTATTCACGTTGTAATGTCTGATACGATTGGACGCACCTAATTTGGAGAAAAGTCTCATGAAAAAGACTTTTTAAAGGCCACTTTCGCATCACCTTAAGGTCGATTTAGGCTATTAGTTGCTATACGTGACGGTGCCGATCCGATGAAACATTGTGATCCGCGTTTCCAATGGTACCGTTCGCATGATTCACTCCATCCGAAACTTCGAACAGTATGAACAGGGACTCGATTCTCGAGTTCGTGCGGATTTTTTTTTCTTTTTCTTCGCACAGGAATAGATGCGCATGACAAAACTACGTATTCCTGTGAAATCGCGTTACTGGTCAACATTTTGTGCCGATCCACGTTTACAATGGCACCGTTCATATGATTCACTCCATCCGAAACTTCAAACAGTATGAACAGGGACTCGATTCTCGAGTTCGTGCGGATTTTTTTTTCTTTTTTTTTCGCACAGGAATAGATGCACATGACAAAACTACGTATTGTTGTGAAGTCGCGTTATTTTGTGCCGATCCACGTTTACAATGGCACCGTTCATATGATTCACTCCATCCGAAACTTCAAACAGTATGAACAGGGACTCGATTCTCGAGTTCGTGTGGATTTTTTTTTTCTTTTTCTTCGCACAAGAATAGATGCGCATGACAAAACTACGAAACGGTGAATTTCGCATGCGAAAGTTGCTCGTATGAACCCGAGAATCGAGTCCTTGAGCCATTAAATAGCTTTTAAAGGTAGGTTCACCTCATCCGACACGTATCGGTTCAGACACGTGCCGACGCCGATCCGACAGACTCGTTAAATCGCATGTTACAACATTTTATGGGATCGCCACCGATACGTGTCGTTATCAATACTTCTCTGATAGGGTGAATCGACCTTTACAGCGTTCGAACAGGCACCTATGCGACTAGTCTGAATCGAACTTTACAATCTCTCCTCGTATCGGCATCGGGACGTATAGAGATCGACAGGTGTCTAATAGTACGAATCGACCTTCGCGATCTTAGGTTTAGACCTTCGAGACAAAAGTCGGACCGGTACCGGCACGTGTCGGGACCGACACGTGACGGATAGCCTGAACCGATTTTTAGCGGTGCAACCTGCAAGGGTCCGCCGCGGGAGGAGGCCCGGAGTCCCGACTGCTTCGTATCGGTGCAATATACGTATATATATACATATACATATATATGTATATATATATATACTTGAATTACCTCGGGAGAGACGGTCGAGCTCGACGTTACCGATCCCCGGATTATTAATAGCGAGTAGAAATAAACGAGACTAATGGCAGCCAAATCGGTAATCGTCGCGCATGCGCCGTCGAGACGCTCGTTTCGCCCCGAGCGACCTTCTCGTCCCCGTTTCCCACGTCTCTTTATTCTTCGTTACTTCTCCCCTGAAACGAGAAGGCGAATCGGAAGGAAACGAGAAGGAAAGGGACACGTAGAGAATCTCCCGATCGCGTAGACTCTGATAGGAATTCTGTTTTTTTTTCCCCTTTTTTTTCCTTTCTTTCCTCGAATAAGCCCGTCGGAGGGTGCTCGTTAAACGGGCCGACTGCCCAATCCGAGCCGACGTAGGCTCGATCGACGTAAGTTCGTTAGATTAGTCAGTAACGGTGCCATCGATGTCGTTACGGAGGATCCGCGGCCTCCGAGCGGTGCATTACCTTGCCGCATGCGTGACGCGCGGGCGCCGCATGCGTGTCTTTGTAGGTGCCGCATGCGTGGCTCTGTCAGGCCGCATGCGGCTTACGCTCGCGCCGCATCCGTACCGCGACGCGCGCCGGCCTACATCCGCGCGCAGCTCGTTAACGCTTAGAGTTATTCATATATAACGATGCATTCGACCAATAAAAACCTTCTGGAGAACGGTCATTCGTCATTTACGATCGACTGGGCGAGTGAGCTTTCTCGCGCACCTAACCCGCCGTTTGCGCGCCGCTCTTTAAGGTGAGGTGAAATCCCTTCAAACAGTCGATTCGAATACAACACTTATTTTTTTAAGGGTATTAGACCTAACTGTCCGAAACTTTGACACATCCTGATCATCTATGAATTGTCTTGACACGTTGAAAATTTGGATTTTTGGAAAATATTGTTTAACTTACCCCAGACCAGAACCAAAATGGCGTCGAGTTCTCATATTTCGATCTACATACAATTATCGAAGACTCTGATATGAGAAACGAAAGGGTCAGGACAATTTTACGACAATTTAGAACACTCTGGTAATCGATAAACTCGCATTTGAACGGGATAAAGGGAAAAAAAGTGTTGTATGCGCTTCTGTGCTAAAACGATGGGAATACGAGGTCTCGGGGTGAAAATTTAATTGACCTGGAAATCACAGATGGCGCAGGGGGTCCCTCTGCAGTCAATTAGGGCCCCAGAAAGCATGAATCCAGAGGATTTCTGGAGTTTTACTTCGATTTCTTGATATTTATTGTACGAAAACGACAGGTGGAGTATGCCATTTGGTGCAATATCCAATATAATTCGACCCAGCTGTCAATATAAAAACGAACGTCGGCAACGGAGACATTTAGAGAAATCTTCTTTATTGACGTCGATCAAGTTCCTCGACGGGTTTCATTTCACCTTAACGGACTGAGAAAGTACGGATGCGATGATGCCGACGATTGTACCAGTGGCGGACGTGAATGCCTCCCCTGCAGATACGGCATCGCCTGTGCAGGTTGGGAGGGCATTGATGTCTCCCAGTGTACCGCTACGATGTCGAGTTTTCCCTCTCGTTAACGCGGGAATGAGAGGCGATTTAACGCCGTTCTTTTGTCTCGCATGATTAGGCGATAACGGCGCCGTTAAGGTGATATTCGGTGCCGTTCGCGCATGCTTTTTAATGCATTTGGCGCGATACTCTACCGAGTCTCCTGGTATCATAGGGTCGTAGGAGGGGTTTAGTTTGTATAACCTTTATCCGAATCGGGTGTATCGAATCGTTTGAACATTTACCATGTAATTGTGAAGGCCTTGAGGAAGGTCCTGGCACCCATCAGATTTCATTTCTTAAAAATTTGTCTATGAACGCTTTTACATTTTTTATCGCAAATAACATTTTATGGCTGTTGGGACCTTCATCGGGGCTTCCATGTGAATATGGTACAATTTCAAATGATTCGGTACACCATGTTAAGAGAAAAGCTTCGTAAACGATTCATCCCTCAGTTGCCACTTTCATACCACCTTAAGGTGATATATACACAACAAAAGATCAAAATATTTATTAAACTTTTCTCTAAACTGGGTGCGCCGAATTATCTGAAACTTTAACACGTGATTATGGAGGCCCTAAGGAATAACGCGCTGCTCATGAAATTTCTTTTTTCGTAAATAATGTATTTATCTCTGACAAGACTAAAAAAAGATGTTTCTTTTTTTTTTTGTCGAAAAATGAAAATTCACGGGCAGCGCGTTCTTCCTTAGAGCCTCCATAATCACGTGTTAGAGTTTTAGATAATTTGGTGCACCCAGTTTGGAGAAAAGTTTTATAAATATTTTGACTTATGTGGTGTGTGTATATATCACACTTACATACCACATTAAGCCGCTGAGCTCGCGATGCGCGGATCGATTTTTGAGGACGACTCGTTTACGAAGAATCGATAATCTTCGGGTTTATTATCGGGCAATGGCGGCGATTGGTCGCACTAAGTTGCGGTTGTGGGTTGGAGGCGCGATCAACGGACGGGTGATAACAGCGGTGCTGGTCTATGGACGAGATCGAATCAGGGAAACGCCTACTGATAACGAGACCCGCCTATGGCGACGATAGCAAATGCAGGGCCTCATAGGCGAGTATTTCCTATAAATTTTCTTTCACATTTAGACACACTTTGATTAAAACGCATTTTACAGTCTACCCCCTGAACTCGTTCCCACAAAAGTTTTATCGTTCTCTAGCAACCTTTAAATGAGTAAGATCATGATTTTTTATTTATTTTTTTTTATTTACTTTAGGAGTGACTTAATTATTTAATTAAAATTCCCGATAAGGTCCGATAGGCCGTCCACCCTTTGGACAGGGATGCGTGCGAGATCTCGACCTATCCTGTGTATTAAGAACACGGTAGAGTTTCGCGCCAAGTATATATATGGAGGCGCGAAATTCTGACCTAATCATCATCTGCGATTTTTAACCCGCGCGTGAAACTGGACAGTGAATGACGTTTTCTGAACCTCTTGAATGAGTAATGTCAACTTTAACGTATCCTGTATTACGAATCTCGGTAGAGTTTCGCGACAAGTATATGTATAAAGACACGGGCATGGAATTTATCATGATCTAAGAACGAAGGAAGCAGAATTGAAAGAGAAACACTGAGGATGTATCCTTGTTCCTTCTCTCCCTTTTTACGCGAAACAGCTGCACGAAGCAACATAGTAACAGACATCCGGCGAAAGAGAGAGAAAGAAAGAGACCTCTTATTCCCTCTCGTTCCTTTTCTCAGTCGTCATAGTGGTATCAAGGAAATGATTAGATTTCCGCCATTCATGTAACCTGCGTCCACAGAGTTGACCATGGAGACAAGAAAATGAAATGAGAGAAAACGAACGATTTTCTTCATCTTCCTCTTTATTTTTACGTGAAGTAGTTACGCAATATGGCGGCAGCATGTCTGAAGAGACAGGGAGAACGAATGGCCCCTCTTCCCCCTATTTCCATTTCACTGTCTTCACAACTATAAAAGGGATGATTGCGTTTGCGGGTTCCATATTATCCCACGTCTACGCAAATCCTCGATTTATAATTTTCCCACCGAGAGACTGCGTCCCTTCTCGAGGGATTTTAATCCGTACCCGTCCCTACGCACTTTTCCGATTTCCCCC